CGTGAAGCTATTCAATGGTGTCAGATTCTTGGCATCCTTCAAGTGCGGTTTGAAAGTGATGCGAAGGTACTCATTGATAAGATTAATGCCAAAGATGCGCGGGATAGTCGTGTTGGGTCTATTATAAATGAGATTATGTGTCTGGTGGGTCTGAATAGTGGGCTTTGTGTTCGATTCATGGGTCGGAATAGTAATAGGTAGGGATGGCAACGGGGCACAATGGGGCGGGTAGTAGTAGATCCGCGCCCTGCTCTGCGATTATGTAATTTGCCCCGCTCTGCCCCGCGATCCACCACGGATTCGTGCCCCGCCCTGTACGGGTCGTGTAAAACCCGCCCCGTCATTTTCTTGTTAAAAAAATTTACTTGCTAAAACTTAAAAAGATGGAACATATATAATAAACTTAAATTGCAAGATGCAGTGGACCACTGCCACTGGCTACCGAATTCTAACAATATTCCCAACTACAATCATAGAAATTAAAATGACAATGAAAAGCAAATTCTCTAGATAAACTAAAAATCCATCAATGCTCCCAGATCAAAAGTGAAGTGTAAGAGCAATAACATAAATCGCAATCTCCCCAATCTAAACTAAAGTTCATTGACAAAGAAACAAGTTCTTCTTCTCAATCCAAAAGCAGTGATCACTAATTCACCATGCCAAAAGCTAAGTTCTCCTTTTCCAGCCAAAACAGTAGACAACAGTAGCACCTGGTGAGAGGAAATCAAGAGAAACATAATGAAAAATGGATTCTTGACCAGCTGCATATATAAACCTGGAGTTGTACAGTGCAAAAGTAAGAGAAAAACAATAACCTTGACTTAGAAATGAGCATGCATAAGCTAGCTTTGACCTTTATTAGCACCCTGTCCCTGTTGCTGCAAATTAACATCAATCTCATTCAATGCATCATCAAACAACCGAGGAAACTAAATGGCAAAGAAAGAAAATGGCTGCAAATTATAACATACCTGAACTTCAATCTCCACCTCTACATCAGAATCATATAGAACATTACCACGGGAGTAATCCTTTGCTGATCCAGCTATACATATATTCAAAGAAATGAAACAAATGTAAGCTATTGACAAAACTATAAACACAAAAAAAATTTTAACTTTTTAAATGGCAGTAACAACAGTGTTAAAGTAATTACCTTTTAAACCAGCAAATAACCAACTCTGAGTACACATCAATGTTTTTATGGTAATCGGGTCAAGCCTACTACGATGTGGAGAAATTATCCTTCCACTCGTACTGAAAGCAGATTCGGAAGCAACAGTAGAAACTGGAATCGCTAAGATATCCCTTGCAAGTTTATGCAGTATAGGAAATTTGCCTTTGTTTGACTTCCACCAGCATAAAACATCAAAACCTTGTGTTTTAGGAAGAATTCCATCATCCAAATACACATCCAGCTCTGATCTTGCAATTTTTCTTTTCTTCTGAGAAGCATAAAGATCAAACTTGGTAGTAAACATTTCTCCATCTGCTGCATTTACTTGTGAGGCCCTCATATGATTATGTTCTTCAGTATCCTCTTCTTCTCTATCTTGTTCCTCTTTTTCATATTGCTGGAATAAGATACGACAAATGCCCAAAATCTTCTCTGCTGCCTCTTCACAATTCTCAGGATAGATCTCACCATAGTAACAATTCAGCACCTCTTTTTTGTACCTTGGGTCAAGAACCGCTGCCACTCCCACTAAACCATGCACATTAGACCAATATTTGTTAAACTTCTCCATCATATCAAACGCCATCTTCTCAATTGCTGCAATCCCACAAACACTCCAACGATCTAAAGCAAGCTTAGCCTCACAAATAACAGAGAAACACAAATTCACAGTAGGGTATTCAGTGCCAGATAACAGTGTAGTGGCATTATAAAAAGTCTTCAGCCTATCACATATTTCCTTGCTCAAAATCCAATCATCCTCACTTGGATAACACTTGTACTTTGGTTCACGAATTTTCAAGCGAGCAAATACCTCTTTATACTCTAAGGCTGTATTCAGCATCATATAGGTAGAGTTCCAACGAGTTTCACAATCAAGGGTAGGCTTCTTACCAGATGTGATACGAAGCTTGTTTTTAAGTTGACAAACAGTTTCTTCAAATTTTTCCAATCTCTTCGGGGTTCCTATCCAGAATCGAATGCTGTTTCGTATTTTCTCAATTCCTGGTCCAATGACCTTCAACCCTTCCTTCACGATCAAATTTAATATATGCGCACAGCAACGCATGTGGATCAAAGTACCATCAACCAAAAGAGACTCCAACTCGAGCTTCTGTAGGAGCAGATTCACCATCACATCATTGGTTGAGCAATTATCAACCGTGATAGTTGACAACTTATGGTCAATATTCCAGTCCAGCAAGCATTGCTTCAGCTCTTCACAAAGTGCTTCGCCTGTATGTGGAGAAGGCACATATTTAAACCTGAAGTAACAGACAAATGAAAGCACTTGAGTTCCAAAACTAAAAAAGTCATTGTAATTTGTAAGAAACAAACCAGGCAGCAAGAAACAAACCAGTCACAAAGAACTAAGTTTGCAGAATATGGTATACCTGATAATTCGATTCTGCAATCTCCAACTTTCATCGATGTAATGGGCAGTGATTGCCATAAAGCCCTTATTCTGAGATGATGTCCACATATCAGTTGTTATAGCCACACGACATTCACTTCTCTCAAAGAGTTTCATCGTTGCCTCCTTCTCGAGTTCATATAAGCTAAAACAATCTTTTTTAATTGTGTTCCTTGACACCATCTTGAAACATGGATTTAAGCTCTGTCAAAAGCTTCGAAATCCTTCATGATCCACTATGGTCAGGGGATACTCATGTTTGATAATTGCTCTTGCAAGCTCTTTGCGAGAATTATCCTGATCAAAGCTGAAAGGAGTAAGCTGGAACTTATCTTTACCCATGTTACCTTGTAAAACTTGTTGCTTTATGTCTGTGGCTTTCCTTTTAGAACATCTATAATAGTGATTCTTCAAATGGGTTGTCCCTTGCTTCGGGTCTCCAACAAGCTTCTTACTGCAATACTTGCATTTAGCCTTTGGCACTCCATCAACTTCTACCTTATGATAATGTGCCCACCACTTTGAATAAACCTTCCCCGGTGTACCAGTACCACGCTGGTGATTCTCGTTATTATTTGTTGCTTCAATAGGGGGATCTTGAGGCTGGACAGCAACAGCATTTGAAGGGTTTGGCACAACCACAGGCTCAGATTGTGGAGCAGAAGCGTCCATGAGTGTGGCTGCCGACAGGGATAAACAAATAATAACAATCAATACAACAAATTGAGATTGCAGTCTGGAGGTGTAGAATGATGAACAAATTAATTAAAACAGGACAATCAGCACAAGAAATTAAGATTGCAATCTGCAGTGTAGAGCCAACTTACAAGTAATAGCAAGAACACAACTTGACCTCGACAGCTCCTGCTTGGCAGTGAAGGAGATGAAGATGATATGCTATTATGAGTTCTGATGGTGTAGTCTTCTGCGAGCCCTTCATCTTCTATTTTAAAGCCTCTAGTTTATGGGGAAGCTAATGGAGTTATTGATGACAGAGGGAAAAGTTGGAAGATGATTGGGAATTTGGGAAGACGGAAGATGATAGGGAATTTTGGGAAGTTGGAAGGTGATGGGGAATTTCAATTTTGGGAACTCAAAATTTCTTGGGTAGATGACAGAGGCAGGCAGGCAACCCTTGCACGCACGCCACAAATGGATATTATGCGGGGCGGGGCGGGGCGAGGCATCACTAGTATCCATGCCTGCTCTGTTCAAGCTGCGGAGCGGGGCAAGATCCGCTCTGTCCTGTCACGGATCGGGCTTTATCCGCCCCATCACAAGCCGAGTCGGGGAAAATCCGCCGGATCGGGCCTAAACTGCCATCCCTAGTAATAGGGTAGCCCATTCGGTGGTTAGAAATACCCTTTTTTATTGTCTCCGACTTCGTGTCAATTGTATGATTATCGTGTCTGGGTTGGATTCAGGTTGTAATTTGTGATCTTTTATCAATATATATGATTATCTTTAGTTTAAAAAAATATGAAAAATAGGAGAGGTAAAAATGTGGTACTTTTTTTTGTTCCAAAATTATCTTATATTCAATCTATCAATCAGTTCAAAAAGGGAGGAAAGAGAAGACATCCAAAGGTATAGGGAGATTTTTCAATTTTGCAAATCCCCTCCAAGGTAGTCACAATATCTCATCACTAGTACAAAAAAGAAGAACAACGAACACATATAAGTTAGTGATGTATGTGTGGGATTGTTTTGGGAGAAAGGAAAAAAAAATATAGACCAAAATTTATGTGTGGGGTTGTTTCCTTAATTTGGATTGTTAGGATAGGGTATGAAAAAATAACAAAAATACGATAACACGATTTACGTGGTTTCCTTCTTCAAAATGAATGAGATTGCTCAAAAGAGAGTTGTGTCTCTTAGATTACATTATTAGGTTTTTTTAATACTTTGTTGGCACAGTTACAACAGAGGCTTACAAGGCCTATGTACAAAAGCACATGCAATCCCTTTTCCCAGCAACTTTAAGGATTATTGTCAGGTACAAATCACCACCCAAAACAATGAGAAGCTAACAATTAAGACAAGTCATGTTAAAGTACATCCGTAATATTTCCTTCAAGCGGATGCGTGAATATCATGAAGGCTAAGATTGAAGGCGAGGAAAATACATTGATTTGCACCCAATCTTTTGGTGAACACATTTGCAAATTGATCATGGGATGATATTTTGCGTGATACAATCTCCCCTCAAATGACGTGCTCATGCATAAAATGAAGTCCATCTCAACGTATTTTTTGTGCTCATAAAATACATGATTGACTCAAAATGAGACAATTAGACCAAATCATTTGGCAGTACATAACTGTTCTGATATGGGTCAATAAAAAATATCTGAGGTGGGAGTAGCCGAGTAGGTAATCCCAATTGGCGCATTTTTATCCCCTTTGCCTATCTCTCTCTCTCAGCAGAGACAAACCCGTCCTCCTCTCTTCTTTTTCTCTTTCTTTGCAACAACACTCATCCTCCTCTCTTTTTCTCATTCATCTCTCTCTCTCTCTCTCTCTCTCTCTCTCTCTCTCTCTCTGGCAGACGATCTACACTTCCTCTTCTCTTCTTCTCTTTCTCTCTGTAGCAAACGATCTGTCGATCTTTGATGGCGGACAAATGGAAAAAAAAAAATCAAGTTTAGGATGGTCGTCGGCGGACAATAGAAGGATTGCAAAGCTCTTTGGAGGAGGTAATTAATTGAGTTCTCAATCTTCATCTCTGCCCACTCTTTCTTTCTTAATTTGACTATGAGAAAGTGAACTTTGTGACAGGGACGAGATGAAGGAGAGAAGAAGACGAAGAGCTCAAGGGTTTTTTTATGTATGTATTTTCTTTTTCTTTTTTTGTTAGTCATCACCAACTAATACCTAACAAGTTCTTGATGTATGGATTATGCATGCAAGATGTTTGATAAAATGGGTCAATGGACTTGAAACCCATATTTGGCTTTTACGGATCATTTCTTTTCTGATTGTCGCAAAAGTGTATTTTCGTTTTCATACCTATCTTTGATAAAATGGATCAATATATTGTTGGACTTTGCTACGGTGAGTCGGTGACATGTATGTCACCGTAACTTGCATTTTTAGGTCGACCTTATATAGGATTAGGTGGACTTAATATGCCGTTTCAATTTTGTGAGATTCAACGACGCGCATAGGCGGAGCTAGGCCATTTTGGCCTTGTCCCGGGAAAGGGGTAATTTTTGGGAGAGGAAAAAAATATCACACCTATAAGTAACATAAGGATGTTTTGTCACTATATCACAACTCATTACTTGTTCATTAATTGCTAAAAATTAGTCAATTAATTACATTCATGACACTATTATTCGACAACAGCTTGTACATGATGAATTATCTCGAGCAATGGTGGAGATGAAAGTTTATAAGTCATATATCCTTAAGTTTATTTGCTTATGAAACAAGAAAGATCATTTTTAGTTTCAGCTGTATTAAGAACAATTTCAAAGTTGGATTGGCGATCATTTTGCTAATGATTATTTGATGGGATACACTGAAAGAGACTTGCTTAAAAGTGTACACAACGAATGTATTTTGCATTTGTTTCGGAATACGAAAACTCGTTGTGGTTATTTATGCAAAATATAATTGTATTAGTTGATTGTTTATTTATCTATGAATGAATTATTTAAATATTATTACTTATAATTATATTTATTAAATTTTTATTAATTATATATTTATATTTTGAAAATAGGACAGGGGTAGTTTCTAATCTTGCCTCCTCCCCTGACGACGCGGTTGACCTTTTATATCAAATGGTCGACCTCTTTAGGAAGTGATGTGGGTGGTTCTTTTAAGCCACCGACGTTTCATTTTCAAGATCAGAATTCATGTTAAATAAGTCGCTTTTGGTTGGTCTGAATATATGTTTGCCTTGTTATTTAACATGAAACTATTGTTGCACTTTTTCCCTTTTATTTTACCCTTCTTCATCTTCCCTCTTTTAATTTTTGTATGCCTTGTATCAATAGTTTCATGTTAAATAACAAGGCAAACAAGACAATTTTAAACAAATATCACAAACAATTATCTCATTTTTTTAAAGTGAGACATTTTATACAAATTGTTTTATTTTTTAAATGTTCTATATGACTCCTAAGAATTATACACCATATCTTAAACCATAAGGATATGCATATAGGACATTAGTTAGGTAAATTTCTACCAGAACATCTCCGATAAACACGAGCAAGGACGTGTCTTAAGGGCCGAGAGACGATGAATGGGATGGGATTAGGTGCTAACCTTTATAGGGGTTAGCACCGTGATAACTAGCAAAAATCACTACGGATTATTATAAAATCAATACAACATCTAAGCTAAATCACTACTAATTCAAACTAGTAGTAGTTTTTCCCTTGGTTAGGACGGTGCTAACTATTGTACAATTAGCACCGTAACCCCTCCCACGATGAATCAATAAGCCCACCATTATGCTCTGATCCAGGCCCAAGATTACTCTACGATGTACACGTGACAAATTGTATATGGAACAAATATCTGATATCTTTAGACGTTAGTCCTTACATTTTCGCCACGTCGACAAACATTCATCACTTCCTATACGAGCAGCAGAACGATTCATCACTTCCCTCATTTACATACATATTCCCATCCTCTGCGTCTAAATTTCTTCTCCATTCCAATCAATCGTCTAAAAAAAATACTAACAAAATGAGTAAAGTTTCCTTCCCGGAGCCTCCGATACTACCCTCCGCCAAATCACCACCAGCAGCAGCTTCCCACAACCACCTTCCTCCGCCGCCGCCTTCCGCCGCAACTTCCAGCTGGTTCGACGACGCCTGCATTCTCGACATGGACTACTTCGTCAAGACCATCTCCGGCATCAAGTCCAAAGGCGTCCGCCCCGACCTCATCGGCTCCATCGTCGCTCACTACGCCTCCAAGTGGCTCCCGGAGCTCTCCCTCTCCTCCTCCGCCGACGTCCCCGCCGCCGCCAGCTCGGAAGAGAGCATGACGGTGCAGTGGATGAAGAAGCGGTTCTTCGTGGAGACGCTGGTCGGAATCCTTCCCCCGGAGAGGGACTCCGTGCCGTGCAACTTCCTGCTCCGGCTCCTCCGCACCGCCAACATGGTGGGAGCCGAGCCGGGGTACCGAGCCGAGCTGGAAGCGAGGGCGGCGTGGCAGTTGGAAACGGCGTCGCTCAAGGAGCTGATGATACCGTCGTTCAGCCACACGTGCGGCACGGTGCTCGACGTGGAGCTGGTGACGCGGCTCGTGAAGATGTTTGTGGGGATGGAGGAGGCGGCGTCCAAGCCGTCGTCGAGAAGCGGGGCGGTCCCGGCTGCGGCTGCGAAGGTGGCTCGGCTGGTGGATGCTTACCTGGCGGAGGTGGCGATGGATTCCAATTTGGGTTTGTTGGAGTTTGTGTCTCTTGCCGGGTCGCTGCCTGACCATGCACGTACCTCCGACGACGGACTCTACCGCGCCATTGATACTTACCTCAAAGTGAGTTGATTTCCGTTGAAGTATCGGTATTGTAGTTTTCCCTATCTTTTATGCCGATAACCATCCTCATAATAATTTGAGCCGATTAAAAAGTCTAGAAATAGTGAACGATGGTGAGTCTAATTAGTCATTGCTGATTTCCAATCTAGAGATTCCAAGTTCACGATCATTGAGTCACAATCATACTTCACTTTATTTTGTTTATTTGTAGCCTACATCTAAATATGTGAACAGTGTAGTCACGCTACCTATAGAAATGACAATCTCAACATCTCCAAATTATTTAGTTAATCTATTTGGACACATACAATAACATTTTTTTTTTACAGATAATGGAATACATACTTTCTACGGATATCCTAGATAATGCCCAAAGATATCAACCCAAAATACATAGATATGTTGAGAAATTGAAGGGAATTAACAACCTTATCATCACCCAACATTCAAAAACATATGTGTGGTCGATGTAGAAATTACAATGGACAAGATGGTATGGAGCATCTGTGTTAAGGATGGAATTTAATGGGGGGTCGTGTCCATAGCGAGGAAGAAGAAGAAAAAAAAAGACAAAGAAGCACATTAATAGAAGAGACGAATTGGTGCATATGTCCAAACTGCCCGATGGGGGGACCGATGGTAAATCACCAGCACGAGATTCTCTTTTTTCGGTGGATGATTGCTTAGCTAGCTAGTTGGCTTTGTATTTTTTTTTTTTTTTAACTACGTGACAACATAACGTCATGTTCATCACCAACGTAACATTTGTGTACGTTATCAGGCACATCCAGGAGTGTCAAAGCAAGAGAGAAAAAACCTGTGCAGGCTCATCGACAGCCGAAGGCTGTCCCATCAAGCATCCGTCCATGCCGCACAGAACGAGAGGTTACCGGTTCGAGTCGTGATCCAAGTACTCTTCGCCGAGCAGAACAAGATGAACAGTCGACACATCGAATGGAGCGGCTCGTTCAACAACAACGAGTTGAACTCGGTGACGACCCGAAGTCCCAAACCGGACGGGGACCATGTCTCGTCGTCGACTCGATGCCACTCGAAGCGCGAGGTGAACGCGCAGCAGTCGGAGATACGTAAGCTCAGGGAAGATGTATTGAGGCTGCAGAGCCAGTGCCTTAACATGGAGAGCCAGATGGAGAAGATGGTGGAGAAGAAGAAAGGGGTGATGTCGTTTAAGTGGAAGAAGCTTGGGTTCTTGACCTCTTTCAAGAACGGTAGTGTGGCTGACAAGATGAACAATGTGAATGATGTTAATGAAGAGGATAGAGATGTTGTGATCAGTGGGAGTTTGGGAAGGCAAACGCCCATGGATATGAAGGCTAAGCTTGTGAAGAGGAGGACTCCTCCTAGGTGGAGAAAATCCATGTCCTAGTTGGTTCACATTGGGATGGATAGAACACACTCATTATTGTTGTGCTAGTTACTATCTTATTGAGTTTTTTTTTTACCATTTTATTATTCTTAATTCATATGATTAGAAAAGCTTGCGTACTGTTGTTCTCCTTCAATGTAATTCTTTACTTATATAAAAATAAAAACATTAAATCTTAACCCACGATGCCCAGTAGAAGGGTTTGGTCTAACGATACTATTTTAAGTTTTCGATAAGCAAATTCTAAGTTCATATCTTAGGATGGCTTTCTCCTTCTCCATTTACCGCTGACCCTCTTAATTAGTACTAGCTATTTTATCCATGCTCTGTCGCGGTAAGAAACTAACGATTTAGTGAAAATTAAATAATTTAAAAATTTATTGAGATAAGATATATACATAAGTTTCACGTTGTGTCTTAATTATTACGAATGACATACGTCTTCCGTTATGAAAGACTCGCATGCTATTTTTGTTTAATCGATACATACAAAATAATTACTTGTCCGTAAACTTCACGTAGTGTCTTAGTCATTATGGAAGACTAGTGTAATTATTATAGAATGTTGTTACATAAATATTTTGTAATGTTGTCTAATAATAAAATCAAGTTATAGTAAGTAACATTGATAAATTTGTAATTTATGTAACTATTATAGAACGCTGTTACATAAATCTTTCATAATGTGTGGTCTAATAACAAAATAAAATTTTGAAAAGTAACATATGATTAAACTGTTATGTCAAAGTTAACTAACTATTATGTCAAAGTTAACTAATCATGAGCTTATGGTAAAATTGGATGTAGGAGATAAAAACTTTTATAGAACATTGTTAAGTAGATATTTTATAGTGTGTGGTCTAATAAAAAAATTAAATTTTAGAAAGTAATGTATGATTAAACTGTTATGTCAAAGTTAACTAATTATGAACTTATGGTTAAATTGAACGTAGGAGATAAAAAATAATTTATAAAACGAAGTGTTTATGCCATATATGTAAAATAAAACTGGATTTTGAATCGCTTTTATTATCATTTTCCTTCGCTTGCAGGCTGCTACTTGTCATTAAATCACATTTTCCTTTCATTTGTCTGTATAATCCAATCTTTTGCATTTGTTCCAGGGATAAGTGAAGTGCTCATATTTACTGCTTAAGATCGAGTACCATCAAACTGCAGCCACTATGAAGTGGTTTTTTCTCAGCTGAAGTAACCATCTAATAAGTATATAGCCGATTTGTCTTTTGGGATTAAGAAATATTATTCTCATCAGGGCCTTTTCTACCACGTCATGGAGGGAGGTTGAATTGGGGGATTTATTAAGGCAAATGCATATTTGTACTAGCTTGCTGCTTATTGTATGATTTTCGCTAAAATTAGTTTGTAGCAACTGATGGGTACAAAGGCTTGGAGTGAGATGTGTGACCTGAAGTGTGTTTGGCAATGGTGAAATCTGAATAAATTTTTGGAGTTGTTTTAATAGTAGTGTGTTTTCAAAGTTGCATAGAGTTTGAAGAGTTCCATGATAAAAGCAAAACATGATCTCCAACCTAGTACTCTTAACCTATATTCTCTTTTACTAATCTTAACTTTGCTGGGTGTGAGATGATTCCTTTCTATGTACAGGTTAGCAACTGGACTTCTATGAAACATAAAATGGAAGAGAGAAGATGAAATTGCTTGAAGAATTGGAAAATAGTGATGTTTGATGTTGTAATGTTATAAGAAGAGTTTCCCTGCTATTTTTTTTTTTTTTTTTACTTGTGCTTTTGTATTTGATCAAAGTATGGCTCCATTAATTTTAGATTTATCTGTTCTTTTCCAAATGATGTTACCACTGTCGGAAAGGATGAATTCCATTGTTGTTGAATGATTTTGTGAATGTAGAGGCAAAGGAATGGAATGAGAGTAATAAATTGTTAATGAAGATTATTATGGTATTTGCTCTTTTACGTTACCAAATACCTCATGAAAATAACTAATTGCTTTTAAAATCAGTAGGAATTCAAGTCGCTAATCAATTTTGAATTTGAACAATCGCCTCTCACCGGAATTCAAGTCGCTAATCAATTTTACATTTATGCATATTAATTTCGTATTAAATTCTGGATTACTTGTCCTTTTTTTAATACATTTTCGAATTTACCTAATCTTTGTTACTGGATCACTAATTCGGTGAGAAACCATTAACAGTGTCAGCGGCTCAATTTCAGGTTTTAGTTCTCAACAATTGAATCCAGACTCAAATTGGGCATTGATTACCTTCCATTCTCGCCCCTACCATGCACTATTATAATTATTCCTTGCCAAGCTATACTCAATTGGGTTTCTATATTTGTTAGCTGTTTTTTGTTTCTTCTAATTACATTACTTTCCTGTTTACAGGTTATTTATTTTTCCATCCTATACTATCTATAGTAGCTATAGTAATATTATTAACTTATTTAGTTTTTTACTTTTAGTAGGATTTAATTGTTCTAATTTGGACAACCTTACAATCGTGTTCTGCACTTACAAGAGGTGAATAATTGATGCTCTAAAACACAACACCTAACAATGGCCAAGTGTAACCAATGAAAGGGACTGCAGTATAGTGGCACAAGTAATAAATATCGAATCCACGGGTCTCTAGAGTTACTATTACTCAGCTTCAGTTCATTATCTAGCAAACTAGATTAAGGATTGATTAACTAAACTACTCTACTAACTAAACTAAGTAAAACTACTAATTACAGTTTGGGAACTCACTTAGGTATGATTCCTCCTAGCTCCTCAATCAGGTCCAAGTTGTAATTCCTTTTGGTTGATTTACTGTTGATTAAACTGCGGAAGATCCGACAGTAGCTTGGAATCTCTTAAGCTGACCAAGCCCTCTCAGTCTAACTATCCGGCAGACGACTAGTCTTCACCGGGATAGAAAGCTGAAGCAATAAGCACAGAACTCCACTACTGGAATTGGATTCCAGTACAAAGCAGTAAACTGGCTAACTCTCGTATAGCCAATCTCCTACTATCGAATGATGAGACTCTAGCAACCTAATCAGATTCTATCTATCTCAGATTGCAGCAGGAATCAGGAAAAGTTGATCAGACTTCAATTGACTCAATAAACATGCATCATTCGATTATAATCAAACAATATAACATCCAAAACTTCATACAAGAAAGATCCTAACTCATGGAACTAAGGTTCCTCAAAACCTAAGTGAAGGGAAGTTACTCCATAGAGAAGAGAGAGACTGCAGAAATCTGATCTAGATCTTCAATCTCCATCTCCAAGTTTGATTCCCGAGCTCCAATGGCGAAGAGATCCTCCAAAATAGCTCCGAGAATGTTCCCAAGTCGCTCTCTCTCTCTCTAGGGTTCGTCCCTTGGGTGTTTGGGATCCAAAACCCAGCTCTCCTCTTCTTTGGTTCGGAATTTGGCTTAAAACCAGGAAATCCCGACTCGCACGGCCAGGGTGCACGGCCGTGCATATCACCATTCTGGCCGTGCAACTCAAAACGCAGCGTGTCATTTAGTCGAACTTCAGCCCTCTCGCACGGCCAGGGTGCACGGCCGTGCGAGCTTCAGGGGTTGCCCGTGCGTGTCCTCGGCATAAGGCGCACGGCCATATTGCTCACGTGCACGGCCGTGCAGCCTCCCTGGTCTGCCCGTGCAGCTCCCCAAAAACCTCGCCATTCATCCGTTCTTCGTCCAATCGACCCCAGACTCGCTCCTAAGCCTTCATTCACGTACTAGGACCTGAAACATCACAAACAAGCACAACCTAGCGTGAAATCGGTCTAAACCACGAGAAATCACATCTCAAACGGTGTAAGAACAGGGGTAAAAACATGTATAATTAACGGTCTATCAATAATACAGTTGGTAATGTATTTTCAATAAGATCGACTTTGTCTCAAAGACAAGATTTAATCTCTTTTGATAGAGATTTCTAGCACCATCGATGTGCATTTGGTTGGCATTTTGCAGGTGCTCATATGGTATGAAAGTAGTTAAAGGAAGTTATATAAGTTTCATCGATCTATCAGGTTATAGTTCGATTTTATTAGCTTTTCCAAATCTATGACAATAATTAAACATGCTATGTCGAAGATTTGCTAATAAATTTTTCTTTTCTTTGTTATGTCTTTTTGTGGGAACTGGATTCTGGTCAACGGGCATACTTCGTCGAAGGAAACTACATTCTCTGGCGGGACTATCTTGGAGATGTTGGGTTTTATTTTTGTTTTTTCCCGTCAGTGTCGTATCTTTGCTCCTCGGAGCTTCTTCAGAGCTGCCCAAGTAGTGGCTTAACGTGCTCTCTCATCGTAGTCTGGTTGCATACAGACTAACGCGTTGTATTCGAGTCGGTCTTGTATTCGTGTCGAGTCTTTGTCCCATGCCCTCGGGGCTTGCCTTGGAATAAAAATAACTAATTGCTTTTCTTCATCCAAACACGACAATTTAACTCCCAATTCCTCCAAATAACATACAAATACCACATGTACAAAAATTGAGTTATTTTACCTTACCACATTGAAAATTTAACCAATCTAAACGACCCCTATATATTATATAATATTGTAATTATTCGGGTCAATCGGGTGAGTTCGAGTTAGTCGGGTTCGGGTCAATCAGGTTGCGGGTTAGTAGGGTTCGGGTTGAATCGAATTATGAGTTAGTCGGATTTAGGTTTAATCGTGTTGTGGTTCAATTGGGTTAAGGGTTGATCGGGTTGTTGGTCAATCGGGTTACGGGTCGGGCGGGTTACGGGTTGTTGAATTTTAGTCAACTCGGGTTGAGGGTCGGATTAAACGAGCGGGTTACTCAGGTCGGATTATGTTTTGACACCTATAATAAATGGTGGGGTATATGGCTACTTTCTGGCTAAGAAAGGGTTTAGATAGGATGATCCCCTATCCCTATTCCTATTCTTTATAGCAATGGAAGCCCTATCATGTATATTGAATAAAGCAACAACCTCAAGATAACTTCCCTTCCACCCTAGATGCAAACAGTTAGGAATAACTGACGTTGTATTTGCAGATAATTTGATGATATTTTCTAATGGTTTTATTAGAGAAGTGGTGGGTGTGTATGGGCTATTGCATTGATTCTACAAGATGTCAGGGTTAAGATTTAACCAAAAGCAAACTTTTCTATGTTGAGATAACGGAAACTCAGGATAAATTACTAGCAAGTTTGGCTGGGTTTCAGAAGGCTACTCTACCTGTGAGGTACTTAGGTTTTCCCCTAATAATAGGGAAATTAGCACAACATACTGCGAAGTGCTAATAGATAAGCTAATTAAGAGAACATTAGGATGGCAACCGTACCGACATAACAGCTCAAAAGATAAAAAAGTATCGTTAATTACTTCATGCTCGTTTCAAGTTCGAAGTGGCATTTGTACATATAAGAATCCCCTTCATTACATGATTGTTTCTTCATACAGATCGATAGGATCTATGGTCAATTACTTAGAAATTTTTTTGATCAAACGACATGTCACCTTAATATATAAATTCGAAATGACCTTCAAAGAAGTCGTTAGTTGGGGAGTTTAAGGAGCATTGAGTTATCCCTAGCTCAAAGGCATAAAAGAAGGAGTGCTTCATGGGAGGTAACCCATATTTGGCTTCCAACTTAAGGACATAAAAATAAAAGTGCTACCGAGGAGACAACCTAAATTTCTGGACCATCATCATCTGCATTACAAGCTTCTCTCTCGATGCATCCTCTTGGCATCTAAAAACAACGAGAATAGATAGTCAACTTGAGGATGTATTTTTAAGAGCACAGATAAATTTTGTGGCACCCCTTGGATTTATTGACCCTCCGCATGAATTAAGGTATAAGAGTTGAGAGACGTACTCTTTATTGTAGAGATACATAAATTGCGGTTGCTCAACTAAAAATGGGCTAATGCTCTAGTAAAGCTCCCTACATGCGAGAAAAGAGAAAAAAATAGTGATGAGAAAAGCAACAAGAATAAAAAAGAGTATGTGTTTGTTGAAAGGAAAAAGTGATAAAAGTTAAATAAAAAAGCTGGTAGAAGCATTTCACATTCGGCTCATTTTCCCAAAATTTTAACCCATGTGTTTTATGACACATGTGTATATGGTTGATTGTTCATGATTGAGTTGAGTATCTTGTTATTCATACATGCTAATATGTTTAGAGTCTTTTCTCGGGCTATTGTTGACCTTCTAAGTTTACTTATGATTCACTACCTAAGATCGATGTTTGAGTATTACCTTTGGTGTTCATTGAGTTGCCTGATTGTGAGTAGTGTGTGCTTGGAGACAAGCAAAGTTGAAGAGTAGAGTATTTCTAATGATACTCAATCTGTAGTGTTTATCACCCCCCATATTTGATTTGTTTTATCTTTCTATCAATGTATCTTTATTAGGAGGAACCCCGCTAGAAAACTCTTCCCTAATTTAATATATATAGAGGATTAGTCTCTAGCTTTGGAAACAACTTTTACACCCATCTGCCGCAGAGGGCATGAGTAGAGGTGGCAATTAGGATCCAAATCCATGAATCCAATCCATCCACCAAATTATCCACCTAATCCAATCCATTTAAATCCCATCCATTTGATCCAAATCCAATTGGATTGGTGGATTCATGGATCAATTAATCCATGGATCCAAATGATAAATTATGATTTGGTACCTATATTTTTTATATTTTACATTTTGGTACCTAAAATTTTTCATCGTGACATTTTATTACCTAAACTTTTCAAAAATTACATTTTGGTCCAAGCCTTGGATGTCATTTGGATTCATGGATCAATCCACCAATCCATTTGATCCAATCCATGAATCCACCAATCCATTTGATCCATTGATCCACCAATCCAATCCACGAATCTGATCCAATTGCCACCTCCAGGCATGAGTTAAATTCGAAAGAAGATATTACCTTTCTTTAATAACTTATAAAGAGGACTCTTACTCTTATAATAAGAAAACTTTAAAACATGGATAGGTGCAATGACGTCCATCTAAAACGAGTCGCGAGCTTATAAAAGGAAAGAAATACAAAGTATGATTTTTTGCAATGAAAATCACAAGTGACCTTAATGGCCTATAAAAATTTATGTGTTATGAAGAAGTTACATCTATCTATAAAGTATAATCAGCACTTTCTCAAATTACACTTCATAATTTTAAATTTTCAAACTTCCTAATAATTCTTATCAGCACCCTTCCTGCCAATAAGAGTTTTTATTAACTCTCTTTCATTCTATTTTAATTTATTATTTTATCTTTGTAGATCTAACGATCTAAATTGAATGAATAACTTAATTTGTTTATTTTACATTAATCCAATTAGAATGTGCCACCTAACACACTATTTCTCTTCTTTTTTTAGATGCAATGCACCTGTATATAGATGAAACCGAGAAAGAGGACTCCGGGTTGAGAGTCCAGAAAGGCCTACAAGGACTAACAACAGCATAACCGAAGTCTACGAATCTAATAGTGTCAAACAAAGCAATTTTCTCTCTTTGAGCCCCCCCAACACCCCCACCCCATGCAAATCAAAATTAAAAGACATATACCACGAAAAAGACTCACCAACATAGGTATAATTATCAGAGATATGAGCTTTGGGGTTCGAGGCGGCAACGATGGCACGAGTGAATGCATCACCGAGGATAAGTTTAGGGATCCAACAATCGAAACAAAAGGAGGTGTTGGTACCGTTCCCTGGATAAATATGAACGAAGTTCCAAAACATCTTGTACTCTTTAGAGATATTGGCCCAAGGGGAACTCCCGAATCCAGCTCTGACAATCCGAGTTTGCCAAGAAGATTGAGGATGTTTGTATTTGCACTCAATAAGCAATCGTCACCAGCTGTTTCTTTCCACAATGTATCTCCAAAGCCACTTGCACAAAAGTGCCCTGTTGAAGGTACTCAAATCGAACAAACCAAGTCCACCCTTATTCTTGATGGCCTTTTTTATTTCTGAGTGATATCAATGAAGGATAATAGTTAAACTTACAATTCTACCTAGGACCCCTAAAAGACTCTAAAGAAGCCACCCCAAAAAAATCAAAATATTCTAGCTCTAAACGAGACAAAAGCAGTGCTTTACGCGCCACTCTATGGGCAGCACTGTTGGCGGACCTAGGTACCGCACTAAACTCTATACAAACAGACAAAGAGCTAAGGATCTGATGACACTCTCGTAACACCGGACAACCAATTGAGTCTTCTATGACGCCTTGACGGACTTGATTGACAACCAATTCGGAATCACCTTCGACTATCACGTGGGTCAAGGATCTTGAGGCTACTATGGAGATAGCGTCTATAAAGGCTAGAAGCTCTGCCAGGTAAGGATTGACTCTCCCTTGATGCTGTAGCCCGAACGCCAACACCACATGCCCGTCTGACCCACGGATAACAAGCCCAGACGAACACCCGATGGTACAAACAGCAACGTCGAAGTTGATCTTCAAAAAGTCTTATGGCGGTGGGACCCAAGAGGAGGCAGGATGGTTTGGGGGAAGAGAGCTGCGGGGTGGAGGAGGAAGGAGAAGATTGGAGATTTCGAGGACCTGGATGTAGAACTGTCTAGCTAGGGAACGAACATGAGGTTGGTAAAAATCGAATGTCACTTTATTTATAGACTTCCAAATTCTCCAAAGTAAATAGACGCATTGGAGAATGTGGAATGGGGAGGTCTCAGAGACCATGACATGTCGCCACCATAGACTAAAGATAATAGTCTGGGCGGTCTCAATAAAGTTACTCAATCCCACTAAAGTCCACAATCTGATGGCTAGGGGGGCATCTGAAGAATAAATGTTCAATGCTTTCTCGATGTCTCCAGCAGACGGGGCATCGGTTAAGGCAGTTTACTCCACGAGTTCGAAGGGCCACTGCTGTGGGAAGTATGACTTTGAGGCATTGCCATATGAAGAATTTGAGCTTAGGCGAGACTTGGAGATTCCAAGTCCTTTTCCAAATAGGATGGTCGATGATATGTACTATCGGTTTTCGGCTTGATGTCAATGATATTTTCAGAGCTAAGTGATAACTCGATTTGACTGTGAGAACGGATTTGTAGGGCTACCACTGTAGAAAGAATGACTTTTTTGGAACTTCCCATAAACATGGCATCGATTAAGATACCGCCAGATTAAGAATCTTTGCTTTGGAGGAGCCTATATGGCCATGTCTTTTAGTATAATATTATATTATATTATTGCTGGCATTATAACTTGGAACCGAAGCCGGACTTGAGGCAGTGTACTGAGAATTGAAGATTAAAGCTTTTCTATAGCCATTTATGAAAAGTTAACGCTCTTAACTCCCACCCCATTAGGATAATGACACCATCATTAACTTTATAGCTTGAATTTGCCAGTAAATGCAGGGGAGTTGGGTTGGGGTGCGATTTAGACTGAAATTGTTATGGGCGGCATAAAATTGGATCTCAAGCTCCGATCGGCGGGAATAATTTGACGTTGTCACCGTTTTCAGCCATATGCGGGCTTTAGTATTCATCTTGAACCTCCAATGGCTACATACTTCTTTATCAGACTCATCATCAAACCAAACCCGCTATCACCGACTGATTTTTCCAAACTAAAATAACAATATCTCTTACAAGATTATTTATTATAGGAGTGTCTTTTAACTTCAAACCAATTAATTTGAATTAATAGTAGTATCACAAATTTATCAAAAACCCATATGGTGGTATTGCCCGTTTACACAAACGGTTTTGGACAATTAATGCCTTCCTTCCCAAAAAAATTGATAATTCAAGAGGATTAATAGGATTAAGAGTTCACCAAATACTAAATAGGTTGTTAATATTCCTCTCCTCCCAAAATTGGGAGTTACAGCAGGCTATTAAAAATCCTACAGGGCCACTTAAAGAACGCTTCAATGTGCCCTTTATTAACCCTACTTAAGGCTTAGGACGTAGTTAATGGGGAAATAGGTTAAGATCTCAATAATGGGCTTTCTAAAACGTTTCTTCAACATTGAATTCGATACATACCATCGATGATGTTATAATATTCTGATATTCATACCATCTAAAAATGAGATTTAAAGATCATAAAGCGCCATAAAGATGTATTTTTCCATCTCAAAATAAGAATTTAAATCGAGGTCACATAAATGACTCATTTGTAACGTCTCATCGGAGACTTCCTACCTGACGAGGCCGATTGCCGGCAAGGGAGGCCTACTAGTTTTACCGGCAAGGACTTGATGTTATTCAGATTGAGCTGTGGTGGTGATCTAACGGGACTCAGCTGGATAGCAATCCGGAGAGGCAGAGCAGCTCACATATTCCGTCTGGAGGCTGATGTTTGTCAATTGCCGAATCGCTTTCTGGGTCGCAATAATCATACGCGTCGCCGCCTTCGCCACGGAGAGTGCTAACATCGGCATAGACCAGCGAATTCGAAGCTAGATGAGTAGTCTCCTCCATTATTGATCTCGCTGCCGGAGCTTGCGTCACCAACGTAGTGCTCGGATTGTTCTCCATCGGGGCCGAGCGGGAGCAGCATAGAAGAGAGGAAAAATGAGGGATCTCATTGAGATCGATCGGGGTCGGAGAAACTAAATTCCCCAGATAAGATCATACATGTATAGTGGTGGGTTTTGATTTGAATACGAGACCCAGAGACAGTGGTAGGTTGTAGGACTAGAGAGCCGGAAGGAATGGCGAGGATAAACGACCAACAGGCCTTTGGTTTTAGAACCATAGATCTTGTTTCTTGCTTTCTCACCGCTCAATTCTCGCCGTGAGGGCAGCGGGGTAAACCAGCGACAAGCGCCGTGAACGGAGGGAAATCACCTCGACCACAGCGACTAACGCTGGATTAGTTCTAATAGATCTTGTTCCGTGCTTTTTAGGATCATTCCACATCAGACCCAAACTCCAACTATTCAAACTGCTACTAGCTCCACCGTCACTATTTCCTCGTGCACTCTTGATGGCCTTGAAAATGTCCCATTTACCCTAAAACCTAAAAGCCTCACACATGAGGATAATGTGGTTTGAAATCTTTCTATGTTGCGTTTTGAGTCATGTTGTGTCGTTTTCAGTTAACTAGCATTGCTAGGTCATTGGTTCAAATAAAGTGAGAATTGTTAGTTTGTTAGCTAATTCCAGGGTTTGGAATTCATGAGTTAGAACTTGATGAGTGCTTGATACAAGTTTGTTGTATTTAAGTTTTGTTGTCACTTCATATAGTATGTAAATTTGCCAAAAAAATTATTCTAAAAATTATGATATTACTAGGTGGCGATTTCGCGCCTTGTCGCGGGGCGGAGATGGTCTACAGGCATGTATTATGTACCCCGTTATGGTGTTTTTTTAGTATTATTAGCCTAAGATTAATTTTTTATTAACTTTTTTGTTAGTAATATTGATTGAAAAGATATAGATGGCGATCAACTTCCAATTTAAAAAATCTACAAAATTTTGGCTAATAAATGATATTTACCTAAACCCAAATAGACCCATTGATTATGGGTAGGGTATGGGTGACGTATATATGGGTTTGGAAGTTTGTAGATGAGTTTGGGTAGTGTATGGATATTTACTTTCATAATCTAAATGTTTATGAGTTAGGTATTGATACACATTTATTCGAGAGTGTTTCAATTACACATACAAAATTAGACCTATTTGTAGAACTTCAAAAGTTTAGGTACTAAAATGTAATGCACCAAAATTTTAGGTACTAAAATGTAATGTTCCATCAGTATTATGAGGACTTATATGCCAAAAAAATAAACTTAGGGTATAAATCTAAAGATCTATTAAGTTTAGGTATCCAATTGTAATTTGCATAGTTTAGACTTAACTCCTTTTATGGTGATGTATTTAAGATGATAATTATTTATTTTTTTTATAGAAAATAGAAAACTATTTATTTGATGTGTATAATTGTTGAAAATTCCATGTGTTGTTGAAAATTCTAGCCAGGGTGAAAAAGAAAAACTCTAGTGAGAAATAGAAGGAATACAAACTTGAACTCGCTTAAAATTTTACGCCTTCAAATCTCATAATGAAAAATGACGACTTTCTAATAAGTAATATCCATATATATTTATTTTTAATTGGACTCGACATTGAGCTGAAAATAATGGTTAATGGTTCAATTATTAATTCTCTAGACTGTTGGTCAGTCGTATGGACCCGTTCAAACTTGTGATTAGAATACATAAAAATAGTATACTAGCTGATTAGGGTTAGACGAAGAAGGCAAAGAAAGAAATAAAGAAAGGGTTAGGAAGGTGAGTGAAAACTGAAACGAAGAGGAAGTAGATAATGAAAAAATTTTGATCAATTCTTTTAGTTGGCCGTCAATACAAAAATCAACCATTTTCATTGTAGCAATTTATTGACACTTGCCTATGTAGATGTCACATATGTTGTTACATGTAGTTAGTAGACGTTTGTTTAGTCCCCCTTAAATGTACTAAATGAATTTATAAATTCGGTCTTGCAATATTTTAGAGTCATCTCGCTTTTATCATTTATTTAATGTTTTCCGTAATGATCAAATATAAAATGGTTAAATCTTCTCCTACAGTTGAGTGATACAACATCTTGTATAGTACAACCTAAATTTATATTTTTATGTTATGATGGATTGGTTCAAAAGGATTGGTGGATTGGATTCATAGATACAAGTGAAAACTAAATATTGGACCAATATGTAAATTTGAAAATTATAAGTATGAAAATCTCATAAAATTTAGATACCAAAATATAATTGTTCAATTGTTTTACATTATAATTAAATTTAGGGTATTAAAATGTAAAATATATATTATAATGACTAAGTTATAATTTAATTAAATTTGGGATATCAAAATATAATAATTTAGGTAATAGTAATCATACTTCACTTTTATATATATTAATATTTGATCTGAAAATTGGTAACGATACAATTATGTATATATATATTTGTTATTATAAACCCGAGTATGACCCAATACTAAAAGCCTTTCTCTTTTAAAAAAGACTCAGTACGCGGTGAAAATTTCCATCGATAGCATTAACAATATATACGACATGAATATTACTCGTACTAACTATAGTTTCCCCTTAAATTTTCCCCCCTTTTGATACAGTGGTCACAACAAGTTGGTTCCCGTTGTTGTAAAGTATATGCCGCCGGCACACTTAGGGTTTTATATGCCGCCGGCACACTTAGGGAGACTCAGTACGCGGTGAAAATTTCCATCGATAGCATTAACAATATATACGACATGAATATTACTCGTACTAACTATAGTTTCCCCTTAAATTTTCCCCCCTTTTGATACAGTGGTCACAACAAGTTGGTTCCCGTTGTTGTAAAGTATATGCCGCCGGCACACTTAGGGTTTTATATGCCGCCGGCGCATCGAGCCGGAGCAGGGGCCCTGACGTTAGATTTGGGGCGCCAGCTCGTTCTGGCTCTCATTATCTCCGATCCATCTCCCATACGAAGTGAATGCTCCAACTCCACACAATCATCCTCCAACTTCCCGGCGACGATCTTCGACAGTGACTGGATTTCGTCGTCTATCCTGCACTCTTTCTTGTACTCCAATGTCATCCCGCAGAGCTCTCGACTCTCTAATATAGAACGTGGAGCTCCCTGCATGGTCATATGTATCCCACTGAGTTAAAAAAAAAAAAAAATTCAAGGAATACAAATTATGTACATGTAGCAATTTAGTTAATTACGTTACCTCAATAATCCAGTCGATATATTTGACGTTACTGACATGATAATTGATATCCAAATCGTTCCATACAGGCTGTTTGTACATAAGAGAAACCGTGTTACTTGTAGCTAGTAGTCAATATAGTCCAACATTATTAACAAAAAAATTGGTAAAAAGATTGCAATAACTTATGACGGATCGCTTACAGTTAGGCCGGCGCGGATATTATCTGCAGACTCCATAGTGACACGCTCTATTTTACGCTTGTCTCGCGGCGCGATGGAATCAGAAACCGGCAACAAATGTGGTGCAAACTCGTCTCTCACTTCCTGCACAAATCTCGACAGCCTCCTAGTATTTTTGTTCATCATCACAAAACAGCTGCGCATAAAAGAAAAAAACAATTTATCATTTCAATTTTCACATGTTACTAACATATCATTCATACTGGAAAAACATATTCTCATAGTTAAGTTATTTACTTAGTGGCTCGAACTAAGACTTCGCCCGTCTTGCCATCACGAAGGAGCCAATCATTCCCCATGCCGTTCTTCCCTGATTCGTAGAGCCAGTTGTCCAGCTGGAACACCTCACCCCTGTGGGTTCATATTTTAATCAAACAAACATTAGTGAAATAGTCAGATGGAATTAACCCCTTAATTAATTAATTACATTAATTAACCGGATTGCTTACCAAGAAGGATATCGGTTGACAACTACGTGTGTAAAAGTGACGACCCAGCAGAGGTTGTTGCTTCTCATGTAGGGTGTCCATGCAAACCCTTCCTCCACTATTCCCATACACGAAGTGTGGCTCAGTGCCGTATCCTGATATGAACATTCATCAATTAATTGATTAATTACAGTACAAAATCAGATTATCTAGAACACCTAAGAAAGGAAACAAATTGAATATAGCAAAAAAAAAACGAACCTGGAAATGCTTCATCAAAGCACCCATGGTGAGCTTCCAGTCAGGACCAATCTCAAACGACTTGACCAGGATATCCTCCCGATAAACCAGCCCATTCTGAACCAACCTACCGCCAGCCGGCTCGGTCGCAAACCCACTGACCCGGTCTTGGAACTCGAGCTTCAATCCTTCACCGTTGATACCGTCAATAATAATACTCTTATTACTCGTCGTCGTCGTCACGGGCGGCGGCAAAAACAACGACGTGGCGGAGGTTTTGGTCGGTGATATGGTACTGGAGGCGGCAGAAACAGCAGCGCTCCTTCGCACAGCACCATCGTTCCTGGCGAGGGCGAGGACATTTCGCCCTCCTCCTCGCCCGAAGCTTAGCCGCGAGTTCGACCTTGATTCGAAACGCGGCATTTGGATCTTGGTGCCCCACAAGGAGCTGCTGGCCGAGGCAACAACAACCATCTTGGATATTTAGTGATGGGGAAATTGATGGAAGGAAATTAAAGAGTTTGGTGCCATTTTTTGGTGGCCCATGTCACGTCTCTTTATATAATGCAATTACCGTGTGGCTTGTTCCCGGGGATGTTGGTGGCACGATCGAGTTTTGTAACAATATTGTAGAGTACGGGGCAAGACCCACATGGTGTGAGAATCGATTATTATTATTAATGGGTTTCGCAAATCTGATGTTCAAAGATTCGTAATCCCATTGAGAGTGGGAAGAAAATCTCAAAGGGAAATTGATTTACAAACATGCAACTATGTATAGTCCAGGGTGTCACATGGACACAGCTAGATTAAGTTGGATTTGTAAAACCTAGGAAACCCGGCCCCATAAAAATTGACCAGTTCACAGTAGACTTCATTGCATATTAATGGCGTCTTGACTAAGATATTTAATCGAGCTTGGAAGTCTTCGTATATGGAGAGAAGAAGCTGGCCAGCTGGGGTGCAGGGGGTGTTTGAAAAGGTTATTAATTATGGGTTGGTGGAATCCGATCCCGGGTAAGTTGGGTAGTACTAATTAATAATGGATGGATTAAGGAGTTAAGTGGTTATCATTACGGTTTCTTCTAAGTGAGGTTTAATGTATAAAGTATAAACTATCGAATTAAATTGCTCTTAAATATTGTGTTTTGTGATCTTTATATATAATATCGTTATCAGACTAGGAGGATAGAAGGTTCCGGGAAAAGGAAGCAAATTATTAACCATTGGCCATCACTTGGCCTAGCGGTGAACATGTGGATGGGTAATCCGCCGGGGTTGTATTGACTCACCACTAAATAATACAAACATTGCAAAAAGTCCGCTCGCTATCGCTTCTTGTATTAGAAAAATAAATATTTTAAAGAGTAATAGTTTTAATGTTGACCCAAAAGTGAAAGTAATTTTATTTCATTCTTAATCATTCTTTTCATAGGTTTGTTATTTACAATAGCATATAGTCGATGAGCTTGCATAAGATAGAATGGTCGTTGAATATATTATTTATGTTTAAACTTTTCTCATGACGCTATTGTTTCAATGTGTATCGCTAGTGGTTGATCTTGCTGTAATTTTTGTAGAATGAAGCAAATTCTCTAAATCTTTTCAAGAAGTATTGAAAAAAAAGTTGAGTGTTTAGCTGAAAAATTATCAGAATTAATTTCTAACATAAGAGGAGATGTAAAATTATTAAAAAAGATTTCTAACATAAAGTATGAATACAAATTCTAAAAATAAAAAATTACTTAAAATGGATCACGTTAGATTTATTTCATATTAAATAATACTATTTTTCAATTTATTTTTTACAATGATATAAATGAAAGAAAATTATGTTTTCTAGAAAAAGAATAATAGATGGTAAGGAAAATTTTGTATTTTCAAATCGGAGCTTCTGCTTGAAAAACTTCAGCTTTTTAAAAATCAAAACTTTAGAGGTGTTTGGCTTGCCTTCACCTTTTGAAACATAAAACTTCTAAAATTCGAGCCAAACATAGTCGTGCTCTTTTGGGGTTTTTTTGTGTTTGAGGTAATCGTGGTTCTCATCTATGAAATTTTGGGACTGATTGCAGGTTTGAGGAGATTCAACTCGCATTGGTCGGGTCAAATTAGGTTGGATGCCCATGGATTTGGGTTCAATTATCTTTCTCAAACAAAAGGAAAAGGCGAAATGAAAAACACTAAAGGTAAAACTCGCTACTGACTCAACTAGGTTCAAATCGCATTGACCTGGTTGAACCTAGTTTTAAGAAAATTCACACCTAACACATGTTTTGCCCCCGTTTTACTTGGATGTTAGTGCCAAATTCGCTCCTTAAAGGACGGTTTTACGTTAGGTTCTTCGTGTTTGAGTGTGTTTCAGGATTTAACAGGTGAAACCGGCCTCAGAGTCGAAAGATTGGCGAAAAGGATCGAAAACTGGGAGAAGAGGTGAAAAAGTGTCAGTTCACGGTTAACTGAAGGACTTCACGGTCATGCAAGACCTTGAAGAAGGGGACTTGACCGTGAATCGCGAGGTGTCCAGAGCCAATGTGAAGGTTACCGATTCAAGGTGAGTTCACGGTCACTAAGACCGTGAACACAAGCAGTTGCCCGTGAATGGACGTGAGCGATGCTGAGCGTTTTGGCGCACGCCTTGAGTTTACGGACGCGTTTGATGGTTCATGGCCGTGAACTCAGCTCTTCTCGGGTTTAAAAGCTGAGCTGAAAGGAGGAGAGATGGGAGAGCCCACTTGTGTGAGAAACACCTTCTTTAGCATTCTAGTGAGAGAAACAGAACCAAAGAGAAGAAGAAGGTTAGGGTTTGGTTTCAAGGCAGATTTTTGGGAAGATTTCCCCAAGGAAAGCTCCACTCAAGGGTCAAGAAGAGAGGAGGCATCGCCAAAGATGGTTTCCACCTTTTTCCCTTTTGTTCTTCCCAATACTACCATGGAGTAGACCTCATTTCACTTGGGTGTAGTGAAACCCTAACTCTACCATGTAGTTTTCTTATATGTGGTTTGGATGATTGTTATTGGGTATTGTTCAATTCAATGTTTGAGGCATTATTCACCATGTTTGTGCAGGCTTGTGCTTAGCAACTTAGGGGTTGTGCATATTTTGTGCTTAGCATCCTAGGGATTGTGCATAATTGTGCTTAGCACCCCCTAAGTTTGTGCACTTAGGTGCTAGTAATCTAATTTGCCACCTTAACCTAGTTTAGAGAGGAAAATCCCCATTTTCAAGGGAGACTCAATCAAGTTGGTTTTCCTTCCGCTTTCTAAACCACCTAAGCTAGGTTGAGTTGGGGCAACCCTCAATATTGAATTAAACGATTCGATTAATCGCGGTTAAATCGTCCGACTTTAGAGTTGAGTGAGGGAGTAAGTCAATTACCGATTTTCTAAACCGAGAGCGTCGAGTGACACGGCCTTTCATCCTCACTTCGGTTTAGCAATTGAGACTGTGGTCTCCGACCACATATGCATTTCTCTGCAGTTCACAATTAACGTGCCCAAGGCAATCGTTCCAATCCACATATCATGGTAGCGGTTAGGGGGAAGCGAAACCCGAGTGACATTCCCACAAAAGAGTTTTCAAACCCAATCACCTTTGTTTTCTTTTACTTCAATTAGCAAACCTTTTAAACCAAATTTTAGTTGCTAGATAATGATTTCAACAATGGAAGTAGGGATAGTCGGACCAGCCCGGGTCGATATCTAAATACTTTCCCTATACTGCACTTGATTAGAGTTTAAAAACTTGGGCTCAAATTGGGGTTTAATTATGGAACAGCATAAAAAACTTGACTCGCACGTAACTGCACTTGATTAGAGTTTAAAAACTTGGGCTCAAATTGGGGTTTAACTATGGTGCAGTTACGTGCGAGTCAAGTTTTTTATGCTGTTGCCGGGGACTACGGTCTGTTATTCTGAAAAAGTTTTTGGTTGTTAATCTAGCTTTTAATTTCCAGTTTTGCAAGTGGGTGTGTTCTTTGTTTGTGCTAGACTTGGTGTTTTCCGATTGTATGTAGTAGGTGCATGACTCGGAGCAACCCGACACCCTTGCTACCACTTGACGAGGACATAAACAGAACTCTCCGATTCCTAGCAAGGGAGAGAGAGTTAGCGGAGGCAAGGAGAAGGAGTGAAAGAGGGAGACAACAATTGAGTCCCGGTGTTAGTGGAGAAGGAGTTGAAGAAGTCGAAGTTTAACCCGTCGTTGAAGAGGAAATGGAGGGGAACCAAAGACAAGAAGGAGGCGCTCAAGCCCGCCAAATGAATGAAGCGTTGGGAGAAGAAGGAGCCCCGAGGACGATGGGGTACTATATGGCCCCAAGGCCGGTGGACTTTCAATCTTCGATCCTACATCCTCCGGCTCTAGTGACTATGATACAAAGTAATGCTCTCTTCCACGGCCATAAAAGCGAGTCACCAAGAGAGCACGTGCAAAGATTCTTGGAGCTTGCGGGGAGCTTGAAGATTAATGGTGTGCCAGCCTAAGCTTTGCAACTAAGGCTTTTCCCACACTCACTCTCGGGGAAGGCACTTAGGTGGCTAACCAACCGCCCACCTCGGTCTATCACCTCATGGGACGACCTTCTCAACAAGTTTATGGCTCGTTATTGCCCGCCTTCGAAGACGGCAGAGTGGAGAAAGAAGATTACACATTTCGAGCAAGAAGAGGACGAAACCTTGAGGGATGCTTGGGAGAGGTACTCCGATTACTTTCTTCGGTGCCCTCACCACGGGTTTAAAGAACAGTTTCGGATTGAAACCTTCTACTGAGGCCTAATGCAAGAAGATAAGATCATCATTGACTCCTTGTGTCAGGGGAATTTGATGAATATGGCTCCGCCCCAAATAACCGAGATTCTAGAAGACATGGCCCTTAGGGGGTATGATTGGGGGTTGACAAGAAGTAGAAGAAGAAGCAATGAAAGGGGAGTGAGAAGCGTGGGAGCGAGTGCTCCGCTTGAGGCAAAGTTGGATAAGTTGCTTGAGGTTATGCTTGAAGATAAAAGGCAAGGAAAACGGGCGGTAATGTCGTGCGACTGGTGCTCGAGTACTTGCTCGAGTACTAGCCACGAGATGGCGGTGTGCCAAGCAATGAAGGAGGCAACCACGTCGGAGGAGCAAGTCGACTTTGTGGAAAGTGCTAGGGTCAACACCCCGTATAGGAATACTGATAATCCCGGATGCAAGAACCACCCCAACTTTGCTTGGGCATCACTGGCTAATCCAAGGCCCCCGGGTTTCCAAGGCCCCAAGGGGAACTTCCAACCTCGGCCAACCTTCATCCTACAAAGGCCCGAACTCCAAGGCTCAAACCTTCAATAACCGTACCAACCACATGATGCCCTAGGGTTTCAACAACAACATCAACCCGACAAGTTATCCAAGCTTGAGGACATAGTGAACACCTTTGTGAGTACGAGTAGTCAA